ATTTGCAACCCAGGGTGGCGGGCATCCCGTGTGAGATCCGACCCGGGGCGGCCGGGCAGGGCAGCAGTGATCGGCTGGCCCGTCCGGGCGTCCCGTGTGCGACCTGACCCGGGGCGGCAGGGCAGGACAGAGTGGCTCCTCTGTCACCCCAGCTTTCTCATCACAGCTCCCTTGGGGGCCTAAGCCTTTAGTTGGACACCCGCCAAGGGCTCCCTGGCTGCCAGAAGGATGTCTGACTGCAAGCTTAGGCCTGATCCCCCGGGGAGTGGGCCTAAGTCGACAGGTGGACATCCCCCAAGGGGTCCTGGACTACAAATGGGTGCAGGCCGGGCTGAGGGACCCCCCCCTCGAGTGCACAAACTTTTGTGCACCGGGCCTCTAGTAAAGAATATAAAAAGACACAATAAAGTAGATAAGCAAAATCAAAAGCCAGATTTTGAGAAAAGCAAATAAAACAGAATAAGGTCTAACAACTAGTAAAGGAAGAGAAAAGGCTCAGATGAATAATATTAGGAATAAGAGGGGGCATAGAGATAAAATTAAGCATCATCAGACTGTTATAACAATTTTATGCAAATAAAAATGTAAAAGTGTAGATTAACTGTTAATTGTACCTTTTTTTTTTCTGAAAAAACAAACAAAAAAACTTCCCAAAAATGACTTAAGAGGAAATAGAACACTCAAATAAACCAATAACCATGGAAGTAATTGAACTGATAATAAAAATCCACCATACACTACTTATTCCCTAATGACAGACAATGCCAGATCCAAATGATTTTAGAGGCAAATTTAACCAAATCTTTAGAATACAAAATCCTTTTAATATAAAGCCAGTTTCAGAAATAGAAAGAAAGAAATGCTGCTCAACTTATTTTATGAGGCTGGTATTACTATGACATCAAAACTCTACAATAACAGTTTAAAAAGGAAAACTAAAAACAAATCTTCCCCTGCAGACAAACTACATAAAATATCAGCAAATTAAACTCAATAGTGGATTAAAAAACACACCAAGACCAAGTAAATTTTTCTCCAGGAATTTAAAAAAATATTTAATATCAGGAAATATATTAATTGATGTCATATTGTCATATAAAATCTTAACATATGAATGGGAAATTTTATTATATTACTAGAGGCCCAGTGCATAAAATTTATGCACTGGTAGGGTCCCTAGCAGCTGCTGGCTTCTGGCTGAGTACTCCCTTCCTTCCTGGTCGGCCCCACCCACTGATCGAACTCCTGGACGAACTCCCGGTCGAGGGGACAATTTGCATACTATGCTTTTATTATATAGGGTTAATGCAGAAAATGCATTACATATTTTTATGATTAAAAATGCTAGCAAATTAAAAACAGACTAGAGGCCTGGTGCACAAAAATTTGTGCACTTGGGGGGTCCCTCAGCCTGGCCTATGCCCTCTTGCAGTCTGGGACCCCTCGGAGGATGTCCACCTGCTGGCTTAGGCCTGCTCCCTGGGGGATCGGGCCCAAGCTGGCAGTCAGACATCCCTCTGGCAGCCCGGCAGCCCTCAGGGAATGTCCACTTACCAGCAGGGAGCAGACCTAAGCTGCAGTCGGACATCCTTAGTGCTGCTGAGGAGGCAGGAGAGGCTCCCACCACCACCGCTGTGCTGGCAGCTATCAGCCTGGCTTGTGCCTGAGCAGAGCTCCCCCTGTGGGAGTGCACTGACCACCAGGGGGCAGCTCCTGCATTGAGCATCTGCCCCCTGGTGGTCAGTGTGTGTAATAGTGACCAGTCATTTCCAGTCGTTCTGCTGTTAAGGTCAGTTTGCATATTACCCTTTTATTATATAGGATAGAGGCCTGGTGCATGGGTGGGGGCCGGCTGGTTTGCC